GTAGTAATAGTAGTAGTAGTAGTAAGTAGTAGTGTAGTAGTAGTAGTAGTAGTAGTAGCAGCAGTAGCAGCACGCAGTAGGAGTAGTAGTAGTAGTAGTAGTAGTAGTAGTAGTAGTAGTAGTAGTAGTAGTAGTAAACAGTAGTGGCAGCAGCAGCAGGAGTAGTAGAAGTAGTCGTAGTAATAAAACATAGTAGTAGTAGTAGTAGTAGTTTAAGTAGTACTAGTAATACTAGTCGTGGTAGTGGTAGTGGTAGTGGTGGTGATCGTAGTAGTAGTAGTAGTAGTAGTAGTAGTAGTAGTAGTAGTTGTTCTAGTAGTAGTCGTAGTAGTAGTAGTAGTAGTAGTAGTAGTAGTAGTAGTAGTAGTAGTAATAATAGTAGTAATAGTATTAGTAGTAGTAGTCGTAGTCGTAGTAGCGGAACAAATAATAGTAGTAGTAGTAGTAGTAGTAGTAGTAGTAGTAGTAGTAGTAGTAGTGGTAGTCGTAGCAGTAGTAGTAGTAGTCGTCGTAGTAGTAGTAGTAGTAGTAGTAGTAGTACTACTACAGTCATCATTTTTACTAGTAGTACTAGTAGTAGTACGAACAGTAATCGTATTAGTAATGAAAAAAGGTAGCAGTATTAATAATACTAGTAGTCGTAGTAGTACTAGTAGTAGCACCAGTAATAGTAGTGGTAGTCGTCGTAGTAGTACACGTAGTAGTAGTACTCGTAGTGCTAGTAATCGTAGCAGTAGCAGTAGTAGTAGTAGTCGTAGTATAAGTAATAGTAGTAGTAGTAGTAGTAGTTGTTGTTGGTGTTGTTGCAATGGCCGTAGTAGTAGTAGTTGTCATGTCCATAGTAGTAGTAGTAGTAGTAGCAGCAGTAGTGGTAGTAGTAGCAGTAGTAGTAGTAGTAGTAGTAGTAGTAGTAGTAGCATTAGTAGTAGTAATAGTAGTGATAACTTCGAGAATTAGCAGTAGTGGTAGTAGTCGAAATACTAGCTAATGGGTATGGACGTAGTATGAGAAGTAGTAGTGGTAGTGATGTGGTAGTGGTAGTGGTGGTAGTGGAAGTAATAGTAATCGTAGGCGAAGTAAACGAAAAAATAGTAGTCGTAGTAAACGTAATACTACAGGTGGTAGTAATAGTAGAAGTCGCAGTGGTATCAATGAATGATAGTAGTGGTAATGTGGATAGTAGTAGCCATCGTAGTAGTCGTAGTAGTAGTAGTAGTAGTAGTAGTAGTAGTAGTAATCGTAGTAATAATAGTCGTAGTCGTAGTAGCAGTAGTACTAGTAGTCATGGTAGTAGTAGTAGTAGTCGTCGTAGTAGTAGTAGTAGTAGTAGTAGTAGGAGTACTAGTACTTGTCGTAGTAGTAGTAGTAGTAGTAGTAGTAGTGGTAGTAGTAGTAGTACTAGTAACCAAATCAGTAATCATGGTACTAGTAGATAGTACTAGTCATAGTAGTCATGGTCGTAGATAGTAGTAATACAAATACTAGTAGTAAGCATGGTAGTAGCAACGCTAGTAATGAAAGTAGTAATCGTAGCTGAAGTGAAGGTAGAAGACGAATAAGTAATATTAGTAGTAGTACTAGTAGTAGTCGTAGTGGTACCAGAGATAATAATAATAGCACCTGGCGGCAGTCGTAATAGTTATTTGGTAGTAGTAATAGTAGTAGTAGTAGTAGTAGTAGTCGTCGTAGTAGTAGTAGTAGTAGTAGTAGTAGTAGAAGTAATAGTAGCAGCCGCAATCGTAGTAGTAGTAGTAGTAGTAGTAGTAGCAGCAGTAGTAGTAGTAGTAGTTGTTGTTGTAGTAGTAGTGGTAGTAGTAGTGGTAGAAATCATGATTAGTGGTGGTAGTATACGTAGTCGTAATAGTAGTAGTAGTAGCAGTAGTCGTAGTAGTAACAGTAGTAGTAGTAGGAGCAGTAGTGGTGGTACTAGTAGTAGTGGTAGTAGTAGCAGTAGTAGTCTTAGTGGTGGTAGTAGCTGTAGTAGTAGTAGTAGTAGTAGTAGTAGCAGTAGTAGTATTAGTAGTAGTAGTAGTGGTAGTAGTAGTAGTGGTAGTGGTAGTAGAAATAATAGTAGTAGTCGTAGCCGTGGTAGTAGATATGGTAACAGTATTGGTGGTAGTGGTAGCGGTAGTGGTGGCAGCAGTTAGTATTAATGGTAGTAGTAGTTGTAGTAGCAGCAGCAGCAGTAGTAGTAGTAGTAGTAGTAGTACTCGCAGTAATAGTGGTAGTAGAAATAGTAATAGTCTTAATGTTACAAGTACCAGTCGTAGTAGTAGTCGTAAGAGTAGTAGCAGTAGCAGTAGCAGTAGTAGTAGTAGCAGTAGAAGAAGAAGTAGTAGTAGCAGTAACTGTAGACGTAGTAGTAACAGCAGTACTAGTAGTAGGTAGTAGTAGTAGTAGTAGTAGTAGTAGTAGTAGTAGTAGTAGTAGTAGTAGTAGTAGTAGTAGTAGTAGTAGTAGTAGTATGTAGTAGTAGTAGTAGTAGTAGTAGTAGTAGTAGTAGTAGTAGTAGTAGTAGTAGTAGTAGTAGTAGTAGTAGTAGTAGTAACAGTCGCAGTAGTAGTAGTAGTAGTAGTAGTAGTAGTCGTAGTCGTAGTAGTAGTAGTAGTAGTAGTAGTAGTAGTAGTAGTAGTCGTAGTAGTGGTAGTAGTAGTAGTAGTAGTGGGTAGTAGGGATGGTCGCAGTAGTAATCGCAAACATTGTTACTAGTATTGGTCATGGTAATCGTAGAAACAATCATTGATGCATGTAGACGTAGCATACGTAGTAGCAGTGGTAGTGGAAGTGGTGGTGGTGGTAGTTGAAGCAAGTTGTCGTAATCGAAGTAGGAGAAGAAGTAGTAGTAGTAGTAGTAGTAACCGTAGAAGTAGTAGTGGTGGTCGTAGTAGTACTGGTGGTCGTAGTACTGGTAGTCGTAGTAGCTGTCGTAATGGTATTAGTAGTAGTACGAGTTGTAGTGTTAGTAATAATGGTCGTAGTCGTAGGAGCAACCGAAATGATACGAGTATTCGTCGCGGTAGTGGTAGTAATAATAATTCGGGGATGTCGACGTAGTATTAATATTCGTAGCGGCAGCGGGGGAAATAGTAAGCGTACTAGTAGAAAACAGGTGCAGTCGTAGTGGTAGTAGGAGTACTCGCAGTAACATTAGACATCGCAGTTGTATCAATGAATAATCGTAACCGTAATGCGGATAGTCGTAGTCACCAAAGTACTAGAAGTAAAAATAGTAGTAATCGTAATAGTAATATTATTCGTAGAAGTCTTAGTAATAGTAGTAGTAGTAGTAGTAGTAGTAGTGGTAGTAGTAGTAGTAGTAGTAGTAGTAGTAGTAGTAATAGTAATCATTGTAGTGGTAGTCGTAGTTGTTGTAGAGGTAGTAGCAATAATAATAGTAGTAGTAGTAGTAGTCGAAGAAACAGTCGTAGTAGTGGCCGTAGTCGTAGAGGTAGTAGTAGTAGTAGTAGTAGTAGTAGCAGCAGCAGTAGTAGTAGTAGTAGTGGTAGTTGTGGTAGTAGTCGTAGCACTAGTAGTAGTCGTAGTAGAAATCGTGATAGTAGTTATAGTAGAGTGGTAGTGGAACTGGTAGTGGTGGAAATGTTGGTAGTAGTATTAGTAGTATTAATCATAGTAGTGGTAATAGTAGTAGTAGTAGTGGTAGTAGTAGTTGTCGTCGTCGTAGTAGTAGTTTTAGTCGTAGTAGTCGTAGTAGCAGTCGTAGTAGTAATACCAGTAGTCGTAGTAGTAGTAGTAGTCGTAGTAGTAGTAGTCGTCGTCGTCGTAGTAGTGGTAGAAGTAGTAGTAGTAGTAGTAGTAGTAGTAGTAGTAGTAGTCGTAGTAGTAGTAGTAGTCGTAGTAGTAGTAGTAGTAGTAGTAGCAGTAGTACTAGTAGTAGTAGTAGTAGTGGTAGTAGTAGTAATACTAGTAGAAGTATTAGTATTAGTATTAGTAGTAGTAGTAGTAGTAGTAGTAGTAGTAGTAGAAGTGTAGTAATAGATGTGTATAGTCGTATATCGTCGTAGTAGTAGTAGTAGTAGTAAGTAGTAGTGATAGTAGTAGTAAGTAGTATATAGTCGTCGTAGTCGTAGTCGTAGGTCGTCAGTAGTATGAGAGTCTAGTCAGTAGTATAGTAATAGTAGTAGTAGTAGCATTATTGTAGTAGTAGTAATCGTACAGAATTAGTAGTAGGAGTATGTTAGTAGATTAGTATAGTAGTAGTAGTAGTAGTAGTGGTAGTAGTAGTATAGTAGTAGGTATGTGAAGGATAGTAAGTCGTCGTTCCTGGCGTCGTCGTGTCTCGTTCGGGAAAGAGCACTGCAGTCTCCAGTAGTAGTAGTAGTAGTTATTGTAGTAAGTAGTAGTAGTAGTAGTAAGTAGTAAGTAGTAGTAGTAGTTATAGTAGTATAGTAGTAGTAGAAGTAGTAGTAAGTAGTGAGTGGTAGGTATAGTAGTATATTAGTAGTAGTAGTATGGTAGTAGTAGTAGTAAGTGGTAAGAAGGTAGTAGTTAGTAGTAGTAGTAAAGTAAGTGTGTAGTAAGTAGTATGGTAGTATTAGTAGTAGTAAGTATTAGTGTAGTAGTAGTAGTAGTAGTAGTAGTAGTAGTAGTAGTAGTGGTAGTAGTAGTAGTTGTAGTAGTAGTAGTAGTAGTAGTAGTAGTAGTAGTAGTAGTAGTAGTGGTAGTAGTGGTAGTAGTAGTAGTAGTCGTAGTAGTAGTAGTAGTAGTCGTGGTCGTATCAATTAACGTTAGCATAATTTTGATCGTAGTCGTGATGACCATCTGGACTATAGTAGTAATAATAGCACTGGCCATCGTAGTAGGAGGAAGAGGAGGAAGGAGAGAAGGAAGGAGAGAGGAGGAGGGAGGGAGGGAGGCCACAGGAGGAGGGAGGAGGAGAGAGGAGGAGAGAGGACGAGGGAGGGAGGGAGGAAGGAGGAGGAAGGAGCAGGAAACAGGGAGGGAGGCCACCGCCGTGTCTGGCGCACGCCGCCCCCAGGCGCCTCGTTCTGGCGGGGCAGCAGCGCGTCTGGCTCGGACGCGCTGCTCGCCAGCGCGCGCAGGGGCTGGCCGCCAGCAGGCGACAAGCCCTCGCCGGGGCGACGGTTGGGGCGTGCGCCCCGTCCACCGTGCAGCACCGGGAACGACGACAGAACAACACACGACAGGAATGGAAAGGGCAAGAGGATAAATCCGCTACAAATATGGGTGCGAATTGTCGGGTTCTGAGGGTGGCTCCCGTTAGAGCGGGGGCCCCGATCCGACGACACACACATACGCCCACACACACACACACGCACACACGTACACACGCAACCACGCACACACACACACACTCACACACACACACACTCAGACACAAACACACACACAAACACATACACACACACCCACACACACACACACGCAACCCACCCACCCACCCACCCACCCACCCACCCACCCACCACCACGACACACACACAAACGCCCCCCCGCCCACACCACACACACACAGACCACACACACACACACTCACGCACGCACCAACACAGCACAAACAACACACAAGCACACACACGGATACACACGAACGCACACCGCACGCACAGCACACACGCCACACACACACTCACACAACTCACACACGCACAACCACACGCACACAGAAAACGCACACACGTACACACGCACGCATGCGCACAGCACGCACACACGCACACACCACACACGCACACACGCGCAAGACGCGTTGACGCGCAAACGCTCCACCATGATCGGCGGCAGCCAGACTGCACACCCCACACTCCACGACGCGTGCACACGCGCTACACGTCATAACTGCCAACGCACACGGCGCACGCGCACCCGCTCACGCTCACTCGCAACCCGCATCCCACCACCGCACTACCGCACCACGCAACACCCACCCTCACGCACACACACTTACACACACACGTAGCACACACCACGCAGCCCAACACAACACACTCAAAAAAAAAACGCAACACCCGCAGACGCCAGACGCGACGCAGAGCGCAGACGCGACGCATGACGGCAAGACGCAGACGCAACAACAACACTACACACACACACCACCACACCCACGCCCCGCACACGCAACGCACGACGCACCCGGCACACAATACACGCAACAACTCACCAACTGCACCACGCACCACTGCACCACGCACACGCACAACGCACCCCTCCGACAGCACATCCACGTCACACGCATCCCTACAATTCCCGCACGCACACGCACACGCGCAACACACAGCGCACACCGCACGACGCCACGCACACACGCACACACTCACTACACGCACCACGCAACACCGCACAACAGCACAAACGCACACACTCACACACGCACGCCGCACGCACGGCACGCACACAAACCTCACGTCCGCACACAGCACCCCCACGGATCACGGCACACACGCACACACGTACACACGCAAATGCGCACACACGCACACACGCACACACGCACACACGCACACGCGCACGCGCACGCGGACGCGCGCCCGCACGCGCAGACGCACACACTCACACACACGCACACACGCACACACGCACACACGCACACACGCACACACGTACACACGCACGCACGCACGCACGCACGCACACACGCACACACACGCACACACGCAAACACGCGCACACGCGCAAACGCGCACACGCAAATGCGCACGCACACCCCCACACGCCCACACGCGCGCACGCGCACACGCATACGCACACGCACACGCACACGCCCACGCGCACGCGCACGCGCACCCGCACACGCACGCGCACACGCACGAGCATACGAACACGCACGCGTACACCCACACCCACACCCACACCCACACCAGCACACCCACACGCAAACGCACACGCACACGCACACACGCACACGCACACCCGTAACCCCCCCCCATGAATTTCACCCCAGACATCTGGGGGCCGTTTAAGCACGGGTGCTAGTTGTCAGCTCATGAACAAACACGGCCTCGGCGAGGAAGCCGAAATCATTGGTTTTACTAAGGTTTGGCCTCATTTTGGCCTACTGAGGGGGGGAGGCTAATTTAGCCCCCCCCCCTCCTGTAATCGATCTCCTCCAAGATGGCCCCAAGAGGCGCCCAGGAGGCCCCAAGAGGTCCCGAGACGGCCGCAAAATGGCCCCATGTGGCCCCAAGCAGCCCCCAAGAGGCCCCCAGGATGCCCCCAAGAGGCTCCCAAGAGACCCCCAAGAGGCCCCAAGAGGCCACCCAGAGGTACCCAAGACGCTCCCAGAGGCCGCGGCGAGAATGCCAAAATCATTGATTTTACTTAGGTTTTGGCCACATTTTGGCCTTCTGGGGGGGGGGGGGGGGGGGCACTGCTTCAGATGACTCCGAGAGCGCCTGGGAGAGCCCAAGATGACCTCCAAGATGGCTCAAGATATCCCAAGATGCCTCAAGGATGGCTCCCACGATGTTCCAAGAAGCCCCAAGACCGATCCAAGACGGCTCCAAGTGGCCAAAGAGCTCCCCCAGGAGGCCCCGAAGAGGCCAACATCCTTCCCAAACCTTAAGAAAATCAATGTTTTTGGCTTTCTCGCCTTTTCGCTTCCGATGGCCATTCGAGGCTTCAAGATGGCTCCAAGAAGGCCCAAGACTGCTCCAAGAGCGCTTCAAATAATCCCAAGAGCGCTTCAATAGTGCCCCAAGAGGCGCCCAGAAGCCCCAGGAGGCCCCAACAGGCGCCCACGAGGCCTCCAATAGGCTCCCAAGAGACCCCCAAGAGGCCCCAAGCAGCTCTCCGAGGCACCCAGGACGCTCTAAGAGGCGTCCGGGACCGCTAAGAGGCCCCCAAGACGCTCCAAGAGGCCTCCACTGGGGGACCCTTCCTCTGCGTGCTGCCCACTTTCCTGATCGAGGCAATTCCTCTGGGCATCGTTTCTGGATGGGCTGGTGCGGTGACGCGAAGCGTCTAGAATTTCACCTGAGACATCTGGGGGCCGCATGAGCACGGGTGCTAGTTGTCAGCTCATGAACAAACACCGCCTGGGGGATCGATCTTCGGGGACCTCGGCAGGCGGCGGATATGGATACACTCAGGCCACCTTCGCGCCCCGTCAACCCTGCACTCTCTGACATCTGTGCGCCGTGAAGAACATCGCGACCGAAATGCTCTGGCAAATTTCGGCCTCCAAAGGCCCCTCGCCAGCCCCGCCCTGGGACCGTCAACGAACGGCTCTGTAAGAAAAGCCAGTTCCGGGGAAGAGGTGGAGGCGTCCAGAGGTCCGCGCTGTAAGCATATCCTGGCATCGGATGTCTGGGCTACTGGGAACGTTTGAAAGAACCCCAGGAAGTCCCTGGAGTTCTCTTTCAAGGCCCCCACGAAGAAGAGCTTCATACATCCAGACGTGCTGCTTCGAGTCGCGAGTAAAAGCATGGATCGCGCCCACTGCGAACAGGAGATCTCCCATGACCCACGAGCATGCGGTGAGATAGAGACGCAACAACCTGGTCTTGAAAGTCCAGGGGTCATCAATCCGACGAGGGGGACGCGTGGAGCGAGCACTGGCACTACGTCGCAGGATGTATATCGCTACTGCATGCGCATGACCAAATGCGGCGATTGTCATAGAGCAGCCCACGGGCAAGACAATCAAATGCGCAGCCTGGCGGCCATCTGGCGTCCTCGCGCGGGCGATTCGGCCGCTTGCTCAAAGAGGTGCACGTACAAGAGCGAAGAGGGGGGGGCTGCAGCACCAGCACAGGAAGCCAAGCGCTTGCTCCGATCGGAAGCAGACCCGACAAGGGGGCACACATCGAGAATACCTGAGCATATTCTTAGGGTGGAGGGCTCAAAGTGAAACCCATATGGGCTTTTGCACCTCGAAAACAAATCCGTCTTGTGATTCACCTTTTGCAGAGCCAAACATCGAACATCAATCGAAACGGCATTCAGATTTCACCCTTTGCCCTCCACCCAAAGAAAATGCTCGGAATACCCATGCCTCCGATGATAATCCATTACCATATTGCTCATGCAACCACCATTTTCATGCGACCCGCACGTCCTTGCCACTCCTGCCGCTGCTTGTCGAGAGTGGCCAAACGTACCCCAGAGCGACGTGCCAAGATGCGTGCGCCAAGACCTAGCTGCTGGGCGTCCCCAGATGGGCTCCGAGGACCTCTATGCAGGGTATGATGGGCGTGTTTTCCATCACCACCACCATAAGTTGGAGGGAGGGGGTCCTCCTCCTCCTCCTCCTCCTCCTCCTCCTCCTCTTCGTCCTCCTCCTCCTCGCCCTCCTCCCCCTCCCCCCCTCCAACTCATGGTGGTGGTGGTGGAAAACAGGTTCATCAGCGCATGTCTGTTCCAGAACATGTTTGACCTCCCCTGAACTTGAACCCCCTTCCCCCAGTGCCCGATACGGTGGAGCTACCTGTGCGGCCGCGATGCTGGGGATGGCCACTGCGCCCGCACATGGAGGGGCGTGGCCGACTCGCGGGGCCTTGGCTGCCCCTGCGCTGGCCTCCATCTGGGGTCAGCTCTGACGCCGCTTCTGGCACGGTCGGGAACGTTTGATTAGCGAATCGCGGCGGCAGCCCCGGCGACAAGCTATGCCTTGCGAGCGGATAGCGTATCGCCACGCTCCGCGGGGCGGATAGCGTGTCACGCAGAAGGGTGGCAGGCCAGAACTGGCGGCGCGACACGCTAAGCCAAACTCAGGTCCCCGTCCACGGTGAGTTCGATGAGCCTGGACACTGGCGCACCCGAACAAAAACTGCCATGGGCCGAGGCTTCATCCATCCGTTGCTCCCTCCGCGCAGGACCTGGCAGAATCCTGGTCTGCAAAGTTCGGGCTTCTGGGCATAGCCTTCCGACCGAAGAGCAACCCTCGTGCTGCTTCTCCGCCAGCGTCCGCCCGCTCCCGCCGGCAAATGGCCGCCCTCGTTTGGCGGCGCGCACAAAGGGGATAGGCAGGAGGGGGGAAGGCTTCTCAGAAGGAGGCTGGTTCGTAGGAGGCGCCGGCCCTACATCTGTAGACAAGGCCCGTGCCGTCCAAGAAGCAGGGGTGCTTCTAAGACTCCCCCTACGCCCCTCTGCGCATGGCCGACTCGTGCTGCTTCTCCGCTGGAGTGCGCGGGCCTTCCGCCGAGCGCGCGAGGGGTCCTCTCTGGAGCACCCCTGTGGGTGGTGCCAACAGCTGCTCTTTGGTTTTGGCTCTTGGCCACGGAGCGCCCTTCGGGACGATCCATGCGCCTCTGGGAAAGTGCGGAGCCCCTGAAATTTGTGGTCGATGCTCTTCTTCTTCTTCTTCTTCTTCTTCTTCTTCGGGAAAAGGGGAATACGACGACGACGACGACGTCGACGACGACGACGACGGCGAGGGGCACGACTGGCTCTCCTGGCGCGCGCCTCGAGCGCGCGGCGAGCGCCGGAGCCTCGGCGCGCCGGGTCCGGGCTGCTGCTGCGCCCGCGTCTCTCTCCGCCCTTCTGCGGCGGCGGCTCGCCCGCAGGGCTTCAGCGTGCAGCAGGCTCTGTGGGCTCGCTTTCTGGGCCCGCCGGGATGAGGACCGCTGTGTGGGCTCAGGAGGGGCGCCTGTTTTTCGGGCCGCTGGGCCTGGGTCGGGGAGCCGGTTCTTGGCCGAGGCTCTCCGGGGCCGGAACAGCCCCTTCGTTCCTTCCTTTTGGCCTGGCCGCGCGCACACGGGGGTGGAGGGAGGGGGGAGGGCTTCTCAGAAGGAGGCTGCTTCTTAGAAGGCGCCAGCCTTCCATCTATAGGTGAGGCCTGCACCTTCCAAGAAGCAGGGGTGCTTCCAAGAAGCCCTCCACCCTCCCCCCCACCCCCCTCTGCGCGTGGCTGAGCTTCAGCGTACAGCAGGTTCTTGGCGACTGACCAAAAGGATAAGGCCTCCCATCTGGTCTTACGCGAAGTGACGTCGCGACCTTACGCGGCGGCTTACGCAGGCCGCCAGCGCGGCACGCCAACGAGGGCGCTCACACGCGACCTTACGCGGGCATCTCATGAGCCAATGTCGGCGCAGACGACCTTGTTTTGCCGCTTCGCTCAAATGGTGTCCGAATACATGGGCGTCGCACTGCATCGGCGATGCAGCGATGCATTGGCAACGCCAGCGTGGAGAAAGTCGTGCTCCACGTCGAGTTGCATCCCCGATACATCGGCGATGCGACCCGATCCACCGACCCCATCCACTCGGACCCCGTCTGGGAGGCCTCGAAACGAACCCCAGACTCTCTGGCCAACGCTGGCCAACCCTCTGGCCGAGCAACCCTCCCGGCCAACCCTGGTTACAGTCGGCCTTGATTGGGCAGGACACGCGAGAGGACACAAGACCCTTCCGAGGGTCACGTTGCCATGGGGGATGTAGTAGGCATGGGTCGCGAGGCACAGGACACAAGGGTACCCAAGGGTACCCCTGATTCGGCGGGGTCGACCTACTAATCAGGGCCGACTGTAGAGCAATTCCTTCCATACGATTTTAGACTCTCTGGAGGGGAGGTCTCTACAGATACGGCAGGGTCGTGTCGCGACGACTGGCGCGTTGGTTTCTGACACCGGCGTTTATCCGCCCCCCCATCAGGGGCCCCAAACTGGGAATTTGACCCCTCCTATGGCCTACCCCGGCCCCCGGCCGAACTCATCAAGGGGGTCGGGCCCTCCCCGAGCTCCCTTTGGAGCTCCTAGACAGCCCTTGAGGCCTCCGAAGAGACCCCCAAGTCCAAGAGGACCCCGAGCCGCCGAAAGCATATTCGCCTCTTCGGTTTTCACTACGTCCAAAACGGCCCAAGAGGCCCCCACGAGGGCTCTAAGACGGCCCAAGAAGGCCCCCAAACGTCAAAAGAAACCCTCAAGAGAGCCCAAGGACCAGGACGGCCCAGGCGGGGGCCTATAGCGGGAAACCGATTGGAAATCACGAGCCGTCGGCCCCAAAACGCCCAAGAGGCCCTAGAAACCCCCAAAAGACTCCGGGGAGCACCAAGAGGGCACCAACAAATCTCCAAGAACCCACCAGGAGGGCCCCCCCAAGAGGCCCAAAACCTGCGCCCTAGACGCCCCCGAAAGGCCTCACACGAGACCCCATCAGCCACCCGAAGGGCCTCATATCCACAACCCAAGCACGGTGGCGGGATGGGCCGAAGACCGTTCGAGAATCATTCCTCCGGTGTTTTGACAGATGCCCGCCGTCTGTGAACGCGGGTTTTTCGCTTTTTCCCCGTGCGTGCACGGCGAACGCTGAAAGTGAGAATGTCAGCCGCAGAAAAGACAATGATCACAAGAAGCATCCCTCGGGGCTCTGACGCTGCCCTTCCCCGAGTTCTATTCCTCCTCCTCCTCCTCCTCCTCCTCCTCCTCTTCCTCCTCCTCCTCCCACTCCCCGTCCACCTCCACGTCCCCCTCCTCGTTTCCCCCTCTGCAGCCCCGAGCATTCGCGCGCTGCCGCAAGCGCTTCAGCGGGCCCCACGCGCACGACATGCACTTCAGGGAGCCGTTTTGGTGGTCACGTGCGAACTCTGGCCCATCGATGAACTGGGATTTCGGGAGTTTGCTGTTGCAGGTGCCGAAGCACTCGCGCGTTTGCCAACTGCGCGCCGTGAAGCCGAGGTCCAAGCAGTCCGCGCATACCACTGCCATTCCCTTCGCCGCATGCTCCGTCTCCTGCGCGCTGCTAGCGTGGCCCTGTCGCGGGGACATCAGGCTGCGCACCGCGCGCGCCAACTGTTTTTTTCCGACCGCTTCGCCGCGTCGGCCACTCACTTCGCGGAGACGCCTTTCTTCTCACTTGGCCCACGCATTACTCTCTTTCCTCCGCTTCCACGGCGCTCTTACACTAGTTCGGGGTTCAAATGGCCCGCGTCCCAGGACGTCGCTCTGCATCCTGGCGCGCAGCACTTCAACGGCCCCGCCTCTGCCTCTGCTTTCTTCGCTTGCGAATGTTCGATGAAAGCGTGGACTTCTGACGCTCCGCCGCGCATCTTCGGCGTGCCCATTCTTCGGCTGCGCGGCGTTTCTTCTGCGCCTCCTGCATCTTCGCCCTCGCTTCTAAAAGCGCCATGCACTTGTCGCTCGAACATCGCACTCTGCCGACGCTCACGTTCCATGTTGCGCTGCTACCTCGCGACATGTGTCTTGCTTTCGCGTGGCTGCACTTCCCGCGGCGCGCGGTCCGAATTGATCTCGGCCCATCCTCGACCCCCCCCCCCTTGCATGCCCGGCAGCAACCGTGCCGGGTCGGCCCCTTCTCCCTCCGCTATCTTTGCCCGAGCCCTGCGCGCGTCGCGCCTTTTCTTGCCCGCGCTTCTCATCTCCGCCGTGCAATCTACGCAGAAAGCTGGCCTGCCCTGTCTCCTGAATTCGTCTTTCGTGAAGGCCTCCTTCCATGGCCTCCGCCCGCGCCGTTCTGGGTCTCGCGGCAATGGTTCCGCCCCCCCCCCACCCGTCCTGATCCTCGCCCCCCCTGGGCACTTGCAACAATTTCTTCGCGCCAGCCGTCCCCCCTTCGTCGCGCGGGCCCCCGTCGAAAGGCCGAGAGATCAATGGGTGGCCTCGCCTGCGCACGCGCGCGATGACAACGTGACTGAACATCCAACTCACGCCGCGCCCTTGTTCAATATCCGCCGTGGATGCGCCCGCTATTCGCCCGCGCGCGGCGCGCGCTGCGACTGCCGACGACGGCGCGATCATGAACTGCGCGCGCTTTGCGCCCAGCGCTGGGCGCCCCCGAAGCGCGCCCGAGAAAGCCCCGGCGCCCCTTCAATGAGGTGCTTGGATATAGCCCCCGGCCCCCAGCCTGGCAGGTGCCTTTCCTTCGTCCGAAACTCCTCCTCGTCTTCATCTCCCGCGACCGCGCAGCGCCCGTCCATGAGGCGTCGCTGAGCGTGCCCGCCGCAGCTCCTTCTCCAACTGATCCAAGGGATCTCCCATGGCCGCGGGCGCCCCCTTCGCCGGCGGTAGCCGCCCTGGCAAGCCTGCGCATTCCTTCTCGCGGCACCCCGCCCTCCGCATCTTGTCCCCCGCCGCGCGCGGCCGCCTCTGCCTCCTCCCCGCGGCAGGGGGCGGCCTCGCGCTGCGACCCAGAGCGCCTGCTCCTTACTCCTTCGCCCGCCGCGCAGCACTCTGCTTCCCGACGTGTGCACCAGATGTCCTGATTGACATAAATTGAAGCGGACTCGGCAAATCCCCCCTCGCGAAATAGCGCGCCCTCGGGCGATGTCGCGACGAGCTCCCTCTCTCACTCGCCGTTGCTCACCGCGCGCTGCAGCCCGCTATTTTCGGCAGGCAGCTCCGCGTTCCCTCGGCGGCAAACGTCGCCGCGCTTCGCTGCGCCGTTCACCCGGGGCCCTAACGCATCCGTCAGCCCCCAGTGCAACAAAATGCGCGCGCTTTCTGTCGGCGCCCCTCGCCGGCGCTCACCCCGCACTCCAAGGGGCCAATCGTCTTGGTCCTCCGCGCGCTTGCTCTCGCTCAACTCCGCCATCCCCTGCGCTGCGACTTCGTCTCCGGCTGCCCAGTCAATGCGCCGCCCGCGGCCCTCCGCAGCACCCGGCGCGCACTTCCGCACATTATTCAAGTGCGGCGCAGGCAGCGGATTGACCGCCGTCCCAGACGGCGGCTCCAATGTATAGACATCTCCGCAAAACATCGCGCTCGCGCCCCAGAACGGCCTGTCCACGCTGCCCCCTCAAACCTCCGTGCCCCGAGCATTTGGCACGCGCGGCCGCAGATGCGAATCGAGCTCTGCAAGGAAGTTCGTGCTCACCATGTCCACTTCGTCGATGACCGGCCACTTCCACTGTGACATTCGCTGCGCGGCCATCTTTTTTTTAGTATTGTTCTTCGGCTCTGCGCTTCCATCGCCCCTGGCGCTTGGCTCCGTCTTGTTGCTCGCGCCCATGCCACATGCACGGTGGATCGTATCCCTGTCGAGGTCAAACACGCTTGCGGCCTGCAGAGCTGCAGTGTCACCCCATCTCGGACAATTCCTATCTGATTTTGTCTATGAGGAAGCTCTTCCCGTCCCTGGACCGCCGTGCAATACCCATAGAAGAAGCTCCCTGTCGGCATGTCTGTGGCTTGTCTTCCGTCCCATCGCAGGAGCTGAGAACTCCTGCGCCAAAGCCCGATCGGCCACCTTCTCCGCGACACTACGTTGGCCGGCGTTCAGACCGCTATCCGCTAGCCCAGTCTTCCACCTACGTCAGCTGGGCGCCGTTACCTTCTTTCCCGCCGCTGCCTGCGGAACGCCTTCCGTTTCCCCCGCGCTGTTTCCTTATTGGGCTCTCGACGCCGCGGCCGCTGCCTGCGCCCTCTGCACTGCAGCGCGGGGAACGCGCGGAAAAAAAAAATCTGCAACCAAGGCCACGGATTGAACAAACCATAATTATTGGCGGAGCCCTGATACGTCGATGGCGCCGGAGAGGAGTTGGGTCTGTCGTTTTTGTGGTTCGTTCGTGACCTGGGCGCGCGCCCTCGGAGGGCCCACTCTGTGAGAATCAGATCGGCCTGCCACGCGGTGCTGACTGCGGCTCGGACTGTTAAAATCCCATGGGCTCACCACGCGCTCGTGACCTGGAATCATGTCCTTGGAAGCCTCACATGGTAGCAATCGCACGGCCCTGCCATGCGTCCGTGACCTGGGGGGACCCGCGTAGTCAGAATCCTACGGCAGTGACATCGCCGCGCCCCAGGGCTGTCAAACACGACTCGCGATGAAAAAGCCGACCCCAGGGAAGGAGCCGAGACCTTCCAGGGTCCACGTGCTTTGGACGACCCGGCGTCGGAGTTTCGGGGCCTGTGGCCCCTGTGGAGGCCGCGCGCTGGGTACGCACGTGGAGGGCCGGCGTCGCGGGCCACGGAGGGGCCGAGCGCCGGGGAGGAATCTTCCAGCCCTCGCCCAGGCCAGCAGCGTCGTGCGTGTCCACCTGGCACCGGGAGAGCACGGAGGCGGCGGCTCTCGGCCACTCTCGGCCTCGGGGGGGGGGCCGTCTCTGGGCCCCCAGGGGCCGCCACCGCAGGACTCGGGGCGAGACGCCGCCCCCCTGGGGAGGAGGGGGCTCCTCCTCCTCCATTTCCTCCTCCATTTCCTCCTCCTCCTCCTCCTTCTCCTCCTCCTCCTCCTCCTCCTCCTCCTCCTCCTCCTCCTCCTCCTCCTCCTCTTCCAAACTGCACCCTCCGCCCTCCGCCCACCGCCCTAGGGGGCGTGCCGTCAGAAGGGGGGGGTGCAGGGGGGAGGGGGGGGGGCGTGCCGTCTGGCGGTCCCGACGACGTCGCGCGGGGGCGTCCACGAGGGGGGCTCGCAGACCATTGCCTGGGGCATCTGCGCGGACGAGTGGGGGGCAAGGGGACGCATTCAGAGGCCTCCCAGATGGGGTCGGATTAGATTGGGGTCGGGGGATCTCGCCGCGTCGCAAGTGAATCGGCGATGCACGGCGATGCAGCGGTGACGTCCGCGTGGAAAAGATCGGGCCCCACATCGAGCCGCATCGACGATGCGGAGCGATCCCCCGATGCCGTCTATATCCGACCCCGTCTGAGAGGCCCACAGCACTGACAGAAGACGAGGGGGCCACGAGATCCGGGGAGAACTCGTGGCCCAGGCCGTGGCATCCCCCCCCCCCCCCCCTTGGTCATCACCCCACCCTTGACTCTCGGCGGCCCCCCGCCCCCGTGGCCTCGGCGGCGGTCCCGGGGCGGGCCTCGGGCCCCTCGGGGAGCCCCCGGAGGGCTCGGGGCACTCCGCGGGGCCCTCGGAGCTCGGAGCTCGTCGGGGATCCTCGGAGGGCCTCGGGGTCCCTCGGCCAGCGGCTCTGGTCCACCGGCCCCGTGACCTGCGGCATCTGCCCGCCCACCCACGCACTCACGGCGAGTGTGGTCTGGGGCCGGAAGCCGAAAGGGTGGCGCCACCTATCGAGAGGGGGGGCTACCCCAGGAGGCGAGGGAGACACGCGGACGGGGTGGCATCTGCCCCCTGCCCTTCCTTTCCGTCCGTCTCTGCGGTCGGGAACTTTTTTTTCTCAGCGTGTCGTGGCGGCGGCCTCTGCGACACGCTGTGCCGTGCGAGCTGATGGAGGGTCGCTCCGCTCCGCGGGGCGGGAGGCTGTGGCCCCTGGGGGCTGGGGCGTGGTTAGCGTGTCGCGCCCAAGCGCGGTGGGCCAGAAATGGCGGCGCGGCTTTCTATCAACGAACCTTCTCGACAATATGTGGCGGGTTCCGGAAACCCTGAAACCAAACAAATGACCCTCTCTTGCGGCCTTCAACCACCTTCCGCCGGCCTTCCGCTGGCTTCCGCCGGCGAAGCCGCCCTCGTTTTACGTCCGCAACTTTCCGCCACCTCCCGCAGCCTTCCACCAAGGAAGAGATGACACCTCCTTAGATCCTGGAGGGCGAGACCCTTTCTGGAACGTCTCATTATCCCGTCAGATATCTGTCTGGCAAGCTCTGCCGAAGCCTACCATGTCGGCCCGCGACCCTGCGTGCAACCTGTGACCCAGAACTCCCCGTCGGCCGGTCCGCGGCGACGGGCGGAGGTATGCACGGCAAGCTCATGTCGCCACGACTTGCGCGCTGGGTTCTGACACTGCGTGGATCGCCCCACCTCGAACGATCGCCGCCGCTCTCCAGCATCGGACATCGTTCGATGCCGGCGGATTCCAAGCCACTAGTGTCGTTCGACCCTGAACGCCCGCGCCGGCGTCGCCGCTGCATCGACACGACGACATCCTGCCGTACTAGGGGATCAAGGGAGAGAGAGAAAGAGAGAGAGAGAGAGAGAGGGAGAGAGGGAGAGCTTTACATGAAGGAAACAGGTCCAAGTCCTAACGTGTGTTGCCCCAGTGCGCGTTCCGTCCCGTGCGGATTCTTGCCAGTCCTGGGGCCCGTGGGCAGCCCAGATACGTAGGCACACAAAACACAAAAACCTCATGACCCAGGATGCCTTTTCCCAAGGACCCCTTCCCTTCATGCTAACTCGAGGGCTGTGACGTCTGGGCCATAACTCCCGCCTCAGGCGGCCGTTCGACATGATCCTGGCATCCCTGGAACTCCCTCGACGAGGCTCAACTGACAGAAACAACCCCCTCCCGAAAATGTCTGGAAACATCCGTAAATTCCATTGCGAAGAAAGACAGCGCGACGGCTCTTGACGAAGAGCAATTGATGGGAACTAACCCGTGCTCCGAAAACTTCCAACGCCTTGGAAAACGTCGTAGCCAAGAGCGCCTCCAAAGCCTCCGAAGCCGTCAAAACCTGCGAAACCGCCCAACACCTCCGAAACCGCCGAGACCTCCGAGACCTCCGAGACCTCCAAGGTGCCTCCGAGACCTCCGAAGCCTCCGAAGCCCTCCGAAGCCCTCCGCAACCCTCCGCAGCCTCCGAAGCTTCCGGCCGCACCCGAAAACCTCCGAAAGCCTCCGACGCCTCCCGAAAGCCTCGAGGCGCGGCGGCCCTCCGGAGCGCCCGCCTGCCGCCGGGCGGAAGCCCTCCTCGACGCCGTCGGCGCTGGCGGGGCGCTGGCGGAGCTCACCCGCCTGGCGTGGTCCGCAGGGCCCGCAGGGCCCGAGCCTCCCTCCGCCGTGGACAGGACGACGTGGAGGAGGAGGAGGAGGAGGAGGAGGAGGAGGAGGAGGAGGAGGAGGAGGAGGAGGAGGAGGAGGAGGAGGAGGAGGAGGAGGGGAGGAGGGGGAGGAGGAGGAGGGGGAGGAGGGGGAGGGGGAGGAGGAGGAGGAGGAGGAGGGGGAGGACGAGGCCTCCCTGCGTGAAGAGGACGAGAAGGAGGACGACGACGAGGGCGAGGACGACGACGAGGACGACGACGACGACGAGGACGACAACGAAGACGACGACGGGGGCGACGACGGCGAAGGGCACGGCTGGCTCTCCTGGCGCGCGCCTCGAGCGCCGGAGCCTCGGAAGACGTGAGGTGTCGGCCGATCGGGTGGACGACGACGAGGGCGAGGACGAGGAGAAGGACCCTGAGATCCCCAGGCGTACAGCGTCCTGCAAAAATCAGGGCGGAGGCGTTTCTCAATTTTCGGCCTCTTGGGCCTTTATCTGGCCCCGGGACCGTCAAAAACAGCCCGCAAGGAAAAACCGGCCCTGGGGAAGGGGTTGGGACTTCCTGGGGCCGCGTATAGAAGAAGTCAAGACATCACATGTGTGGGTCTTGGCGTTTCAATTTTGTTCTAATAAACGATGTTGCCTCGTTTCGGGCCATGCCCAAGGACCCTGATTGATTGAACCGGCTCGACATATACTGCAGTAAACAGATGGAGTCTAGGGCTTCGGCTATGCTTTCCCACAATGCTGTATTTTCTCGTTTTGTCGGATCTCAAGAGAGGAGCGAGAAAAAGACGGGATCGTCCGATTCGATCGATCGAACCAGCAGGTCGAATTCCGGGCTGCCTCGTCTCGACGTTGATCGGCACGCTGGCGAAGCGCCCAACGTGGAACAGCCGTAGCCACTCTTCGCGGGAGGTCGCGCGCGCCACGCGGCCGATTTCGGAAACCCTGAAGCCAACTCGGCTACACGTACGAGTGTCCCTACGTAGGCAAAAGTGACCTTCGGGGGCTACGTGGAGGCCAAGCCCGAGCGCGCAAGACGCTCCTATCGTATCGCGTTCGATCATCTGGGGACCCCAGGGGTCAGTGCGCAATTACCACAAGTCGTTTCGGAGAAAGGTCACTCTCACGTGCAGCCGACCAACAATGTTGACGTATGACCTTTTCTGGCGGCGCGGGCAACGGTGTTGGGTGAGGGGGGAAGTCGTCTTAGAAGGAGGCTGCTTCTTAGAAGGCGCCGGCCCTGCATCTACAGAGATGGCCCGCGCCTTCTACGAAGTAGGCTCCTTAAGAGGCCGTCCCACCTGCCCCTACCCCCTGCCCCCCTGTGCGCGCCGCCAAAAGAACTCATACGTCAGCTTTGCTGGTCGGCTGCACTGACGTAAGAGTGACCCTTTGACCCTTTGCCACCGAGACCGTGACCTTCAGTACGGGCACGCTGACACTTTGGAGTCCCGAAGCAGTGCGGTGACAAACCGTGCGGTGACCTCGAAATCCCCCAAGACCCCACCGCACAGTCCGTCAGCGTACGGTTGTGGGACCTCGGATGCCCCAGTCGCCCGAGGCGCCCTCGGAGAACGGCCCGAGTCCCACAACCGTGCGGTGACCCCGCATCCCCACCGACTCACCGCACGGTGCGGTCACCGCCCCGTTTGGGGACCCCCGAGACACCGGGGGCCCCAAGTGACCGAACGCGACTCCATGGGAGCGCCTTGCGCGCTCAGGCTCTGCGCGTGGCCGCCCCCCGCCGGCCTCCCGCCGTCCTCCTCCGAGGGGCCCGCCGCCGCCTTGCCTCCGCCGCCCTCCGCAGGCCTTCCGCCGACCTCCGCCGAGTGTGCGACGCGCCGGAGGCGAGGCCCCGTCTGGCACCGAGGGTCGCTCCGTCGAGGGGTCCCCCTTGCGCGTGGCCCGTTTTTCTTTTTGTTTTGTCTCCCTCCCTCTCTTTTTTTTTTTGTTCTCTCTCTCTCTCTCTCGTTCTCATCGACATCCTCATCCTCGATTGTCCTCTATTGCCTGCACATGCTCGAATTCAAACTCTTCCCGCCTGCGCGCCGGACGGCGCATGGCTCCGCGTGTGTGTGTGTGTGTGTGTGTGCCTTGATAGGGCCCTGAGACCGCCACAAGACAACTCAGGCTGTGCAGACGGCCCCCGGGGCAAGCAGCGGGACGCCCGGGGACCCCTGGATCTCCGGGCACCGCACACTTGGAAGAACGGGCCTGGGATGAACAAACGGTCCCCGGGGTCGCCACCTACTCCAAGAAACGGCCCCCCTGCACACCCCCAGAACCCCCCAGGACCCCAAAGACGCCCAAGGCCTCAACGATCCTCTCGGTCCTCTCTCCTCCTCGGTCCTCCGCTTCCAGGGGCCTTGTCATCGCCTCGGACGCCCATTCCTCGTGCAGTTTTCTTTCTTTCTGAATCTTTTCGCAAAGCGATCCAAGACGCTCCTCGAGGGGCCTCGCCGAACCAACTGCACACGTCCGAGCGATGCCACGGGGGAGGTGGTGCCCCCCCTTGGCACTGCCAGGCGGGAGGGGAGCAGGGCGCTGGCTGTCGTCGCCGCCGTGGTCGTCCTCGTCGCCGCCACAGCTGTCGTCGTCGCCGCCGCCGTTGTCGTCCTCGTCGCCACCAGCGCCTCCTCCGCCGCCACCACCACCACCACCACCACCACCACCACCACCACCACCACCACCACCACCACGACCACGACCACCACCACCACCACCACCACCACCACCACCACCACCACCACCACGACCACGACCACCACCACCACCACCACCACCACCACCACCACCACCACCACC